CGTATAATCTATTTCCCTTTATTATTAGAAGGTCTCCCTCGACCCAAAACTGTCATGTCTTCCCAGCTTTGGCTAGTTCAACGATGGCTTTGGCCGATGGGTCTTTATGTAAATGTTTTTTTGATGATGTCGCACATCGATCCATTATTCTTACTTGAGTGAATATCGGCTAACATGCACAGGGCCGCATGTTAGTCCTCGACTCAGCGCGTCGGCTGCTTGGTTACTCTTTCCAGCTTTGTGTTCAAATTTGAAGTCGAATTTAGCCAACGACTCCTGCCACCGAGCTTGTTTTGCCATCAATTTCGGTTGATCGAAGAAGTGGCAAATGGCACTGTTATCCGTCTTCACTACGACTTGTGATTCCAAGAGGTACTGTCTCCAGACTCGTAGGCAATGGACCATAGCCAACATTTCTTTTTCGTAGATAGTGTACCTCCTTTCAGCATCATTGAGTTTTCGACTTTCATAAGCGATGGGGTGGCCTTCTTGAATAAGGACACCACCTAGGGCAAAGTCGAAAGCATCTATCTCTATTTCAAATGGTTTAGTAACATCTACTAATTCTAGGACAGAACCCCTCATCATGGTTGCCTTCAGATCTTCAAAGGTCATTTGACATTCATTTGACCACAACCAAGGGTAGTCTTTCTTCAGGAGTTCTGTTAATGGGGTGACTCGTCGTGAAAACCCTTCGACAAACCGCCTATAGTAGTTTGCCAATCCTAGGAAGGATCGCACATCGGATATGGAAGTAGGGATTTTACACTCTTGGATAGATTTTATCTTATCGCTATCCATACCGATCTGTCCACAACTGATGACATGTCCAAGGAAGTTGATACATGTTTATGCGAAGGCACATTTTTCTTTCTTGTCATACAACTGGTTCTGTCGCAGCTTGTCAAACACTAGTTTCTGGTGCACCTTGTGTTCCTCTAGGGTTGTGCAATATACAACTATGTTGTCGAGGTATACTACGACGAACTGATCCAAGTATTCGTAGAAAACTTAGTTCATTAACGTGCAAAACGTAGCTGGGGCATTTGTCAAGCCAAAGGGCATTACCAAGAACTCAAAGGCCTCATATCTTGTTACACACGTTGTCTTGGGCTTGTCCCCTTTGGCGATACGTACTTGGTAGTACCTTGATCGTAAGTCCAACTTCATGAAGTATTTGGCCCCGTGAAGTTGGTCAAACAAGTCGGATATTATCGGCAGTGGGTATTTGTTGCATACGGTCACCTTGTTTAAGGCCCTAGAATTTATGCTCAGACGCAACGTCTCATCCTTCTTTTTCTGAAATAGTACGGGGGCTCCGTATGGTGCCTTTGTCGGGCAGATGAATCCTGCCGCCAACAACTCATCTAGTTGTTTCCTCAATTCGACTAGCTTAGGGGGAGCCATCCAGTATGCGTTCTTCATTGAGGGTTTAACCCCGGGGAGGAGTTCAATTTTGTGATCAATGTCTCAACGGGGTGGTAATGTTTGTGGTAAGCTCTCTGGCATTATTTCAGCATAACTGTCTAGTACATCCTTGATTTCGCTTGGAATAGTTTCCTCAGTGGTCATTTCTTCCATTAGGGGTATAGCCATAAATGTAGGATCCTCTCGTGCGAGTCCTCTTTTCAATTGTATGGTCAAGATCATTCTAAGATTATCTGGTTGCTTGATGCTTGCAGGTATTACTCTGAGGTTGTGGTCGGAAATCACCAAGTATTTCGCCAGTGGCATTGGGATAACTTTGTGTTCTAGGAGGAAGTCCATCCCAAGTACCACATCGAAGTCGTCCATGCAAACCACGACAAGGTTCATCTCTCCTATCCAGGCCTCTAATTTGAAGGGGACTCTTTTGGAGACTCCCACAATAGGCAAGGCCTCAAAGTTGACAGCTTTCATTTTTTCGGGGTTCTTTTCTATGGTGAGTCCCAATCTTCGTGCTTCTTGGTCGGCGATGAAGTTGTGGGTCGCACCTGAGTCTATCAAGGTACTCTTGCTTGGTCGGGAGTTTATTGTTGCATCTACGAACATGAGCCCTTTCTCTATTATCTCCTTTGGGTCGACCTTTCGTTGGAGGGCTGACAAGAATTTAAGCACACCCATTCGGGGGTTGTCTTGATCTTCCCTCCTGTCTGGCGTAGTCTCGACTTCTGTGTCGTTGCTCTCTTGAATGGACACTTGGAGTGCACTGAGAGAGGCCCAATGAGAATAGAACAGTTTGTGGGGGCTTTTACACAACAGGCATTGTAAAGGTGTCGTCGGGTAGTTCTTTTGAGGGTAAGGTCCTTGAGATGTCCCCGCTTGGTTATTCTGAAGAGGTCTATCTGTCCACCCACTTAGTTTGTCATTACTTTTGTTTGGCCTATTGGGGCCTTCATTTTGATGACCTAGCGGTTTATATGTTTTGCCCACAATGTTTGAGGCCTGTGTTGTTGTTCTTTGGAAACTCGCTTCGTTCCCAAAGTCTAGGAGTCTCTCGGAGCTGGCAATTGTGGTAGCTAGGTTTTGAACCTTTTTCTCGTGTATTTTTGTTTTGGTCCACGGTTGTAACCCATTTATAAAGAAAAATACCTTGTCTTTCTCTAACGTGCCCCTGATATCTAGTAGCAGGGTCAAGAACTGTCTGACATAGTTCCTTATGCTTCCATTTTATTTTAGGGTTATTAGTTTTTCCATTGCTTGTTCTACGTTTTCGGGGAAGAATTGGTCCCTCAACTCTCTCTTGAGGTCTTTCCACGAGTCGATGGTGCACAATCCATTCTCGATGTCTTGCACCTTCGTACGTCACCAAAGTTTTGCATCGTCTATGAGATACATTGATGCTACTGTCACTTTTATGTCGTCGGTACAAGCCGTTGTGGCTTTAAAGTACTATTCGACATCAAAGATGAAGTTCTCCAACTCTTTGGTGTCCCGGTTCCCATTGAAGGGTCTGAGGTCTAGGAACTTCAGTTTGTTGAATCCTGTATGAGTTTGCCCAGCCATGACATTCTCCACAGCTTTCATGGTCACCTCAATTCGGGTGTTCATGTCGACCATCTTTTCTTGGATGGCATCGATCGTTGTTCTAAATTCATCAGCTAATTCATTAAACAAACTCATCATGATATTTTGTAGCACGTTGAACTCTTCGTCACCTCCCTCGTGCGCGACAAAGCTATTAGGGCTACCAGCAGGTCTTGAGCTGCTTGTAGTAGCAACTCTTTCTTCGAGCGAGGCCACTCGAAACATTAGATATGTGATTGGCAACCCATCCATGCGATTGCTCATTGCGTCGATTTCTACGACTTTTCCATTCAATTCTGTCACCCGTGCTTCCAAGAAGCGAATGGTGTCAGGGACTTATTTGCTATTAAAGTAAGTCGGTCGGCTTATGATTTGGGTGTCGACTTTGTCGTTGACATGATTTCGGTCTTTGCTATGTCACGGAGCTAACAAAGCTCAGATACCACTTGTCACAATCGCACTCTTGATGGCAGCGGACTTGTGATTGTGCGGCACTCTCTTTCCAACGACAAGTGAGCTAAGCCAATTCGTTCTTACATCGCCTACGGCCAAGCGACGTATGCTCGAGTCTCTGGCCTGGGTTTAAGAAGAATGTTTTAGAAAACGAGGGCATAGAGAGATTTTCGAAAGAGAGATTTTGAAAGAGACGTTATATATGCAAGTAAGAGAGTAACAACAACGGCTCACTGTATATAACTATTGGTAGGGAGAAGTTGACAACTAGTCATATCCCCTATAATACATTTTTGAGGCATTTAATGTTCGGTAGATCTAGATATGATTTTTCCGAAACATCATACTTCCTATAAATACGAAAGTAAAACACTAGAACATGAAAAGATATAAAGGGTTTGACTTGTTATGAGCATGCGGTCATGGGTAACACGCTTTGGACGAGCATGACGTGACACTAAAGAGACAGAAATTCATGTCCTAAGTCGAATTGTAATATACCCAAATCCCAACAAAAGCAATGAGGTTGGCAGCCTTGTGAAAGCAATGGAGGGTGAGGGAGAGGTGAGGAAGGTGAGAGTAGAGGAAGGAAAGCGAATGATGAGGTAGAGGATGACCTAACAACCAACTTCCGGTCTGACTCGAAGTTGGGTGAAAAGACGTGGACAATTGGTGTGAAGGCGAATAAATGGTAAGACAGAAACTTACTTACCCGCGGTTTAGTGCTGCCAACAGAGCTTTGATGGAGCGAGAGAGTGGACCCTGACGACCATCGCCAGCAACAATTACTGACCGCGCTTCAATCCACCAACGCTGATGCAATCGGTAGCTTATCAGCTACCATTAATGAGAGAGCGGTGCGGGAGAGAAGTGTCACATCAAATTTAGTCAAATTAAAATTGAAAATGTGTAGAATGTTATACAAAATAATTTGGAAGGTTAAGAGGAGGGAGCATAGGTAAGGTACATGGTCCGAATTGAGTTGGATTGAAATTGAGTTGGATTGAAAGATGTTTTTGGACTAACTCAAAACTCGAAACTAAATAGAGTTAATACAAGTATGGAAAAATTAAACCAGCTCCCAAAATATTAATCTAATTCAGTTCAATCCCTATCATATGAATTGGGTTGGTTTGGGCTCCCGCTGTGGGCACTGTGGTATGAGTGCAAGGTGGAAGTCTGAATCATTGAAACGTAATGATGAAGAAAAAGTGAAGGGTTCAAAAATGGCTGCGCAATTGCAATTCGCATTTTCTACGGCCGCCTTTCATTTATTCAATGTGTTTTTGTTCATCTTCCTTTTGACCTTTTTGTCAACAAATGGATTTGTATTGGCCTCACCTTCACAGAGCCTGTCCCCATCCCCATCCCCATCCATCCAAAGACCAACAAATTCGAACACCAACAGAACTGAGACGAAAATGCTTGGTCGAATTGAACTGTGCCATATTGCACAGCTATGATATGAATCTCTACAAATCTTTTGCTCTTAACAGTCGAAACTTTGATGCCTAGACAACATGAAAGGGAGAGTAGTTTCCGACAAAGGGCTCCATTAGGCACTATCATTTCATTTCATATAATAATATATATAATACATATACATTCAGATCAAGATTGAAGGGCAACAGGTCTCCCCCTACGGTTAACATTTCTAAGCCTACCCCAGAATACAAAAGAAAGCATCCAATAGATGCACCGCCACTATAACAAAACACTAAAATAAATTTAACTTGTCAAAGAAATGATTAGAACAAAAGCAATAACCAAAAAACAATCCCAATCATCATCATCATCATCATCATCATCATCTTGACATTACCAAGCTTGAGAGAGGAGGCACAACCGATGTGGTGAACATAGACTCCCCCAGGTACTTACAGTTATCGTGATCTACAACTTTCATGGAGCTTCCCATCGTAAATCTATCACAACCACTCAAACAAGCTAATGGGGAAGGAAAGGATTTACTTGCATCTTCAACACGCTTCCCAAATGCGTTGCTACTGCTGCTGCTGCTGGGTTGGCTTCTCTTTTTCGATCCTGTCCACCGCAATTTCGCAAGTGAACCGTCCTTCAACAGATCTCGTACCATGCACACTTCTCTAGCCTTATCAGCATTCGAGTTCGCTCGAGGCTCACTTGTTTGACTTCGTCCTTCCCGTGCTGCTTTGCTATCACAAATCTCAACTCGGGTCAACAATGCCAACTTGCCTTCAGAAGACACCTTATCAGGGAGGTCTTCATTCGCACCTCGAGATGGAATGGAGGTTGCAATATCTGGCCGTTCCTGCATTTGCATCCACCGGTTTCCAAACCATTCTTGAGAATGCCTCAAGTCTGCTGTGCCAAAAACCGCTTCTTTCTTTTCACCTGAAGGTATATTGAAATGAATATTAGTCTTAAATCAGGACTTCCTTTTGAAACAACACGCATTGCACTAAATACATACCTGGTAAGTAAACTCGCAACTTGTCTTCACATTCCTTCTGAACAACAATTCCTTCCCACCAACCATCATGCCACCATACATCAACAATTGTCCCAACATTATAAACCGCGAAGCCTTCGGTACCCTTACCAGGATATGGACGAATAACTAGTCTTCCATTGAAGCGTAGACCCAATTGATCAGGGCCTGCAACTCTAGATGCTGAAAGCCATTCCTGCGTATTCAAATAAATCAATATAAAAACAAGCATCGACCATTTAATCTAGTTCATTTTATAATTTAGTCAAAAGACCACAAATAGATATAATCACCCAAAAGAACACATACCACAAGCTTGTTTGATTCATCACTGGCATCCTGAAGATCGCAATATTGCACCTTGACCTTGTCTCTGCGCTTCTTGATTATTGAAGCTCTGAACCAACACCCTCTAATGCCGCTATCTTGTGAGAGAACTTCAATCTCCGATCCAAAAGTTAACTGACTTGTAGAAGAGTTGTTCTTCAACTCTTTACCTATAAAAGTTTTAGAAGCACAGCCCCCTTTTGGACTGAAGATAATATCACTGCGTTTAAAACCAACCAAGTTATGGCTTGAACTGTGCACATCAAGAGAAGGAGACACATTAACCGGCTGTCTCTTCTCATTATTTAGAGGGTCCTCATTATTCAATCGCCGATGCCTCTTTCGAGGTCTCATCTCAGCACTTATGTCATCTTCTAAGTGTTGAGGGTGACCTTGAGCTTTTGAAGAAGAAAGAGCATACATGTATCTGAGTATCTCTTGCTTCCAATAGCCTTTAACCTGTGTAATATCGAAGGGTTTGATATCATCATTATCAAATTGCTTCACACATACATATGGCTCCAATTGAGTAATTTTCGCCTCGTTCTGGAACTTCTGAAAATGGTGGGGACTAAGAACAGTCGCCAACCCATCTATGCATTCAATACTGAGATCTTGAAGACAAAGAGAAAAGAAAATCTCTCTGTCATTAAAATTGTGTGGCAAATCAATATCAACCTCATCAATTTTGTGAAACCACCGTACCACAACCATCCTGTTGCTTCTACAGTCCTCATACATATCCTCCAAGTACGCAACAAGACGCTTGCCTTCCTCAGCCAAGACATATACAAAGTCATGAACCTGGAACATCATGAGAAAAAATGCAAGATTAATACAAGACACAAATGAACAAAAACTTAATTACTTCCTTCACTAACTGTTCAGAAAGAATCGGTGCTGGTAAGAGAACAAACAAGCAGAAATACTTACTGAGATCTTAATGCCATTCCGATTGAAAGATGGATAATGCCTGCGCTTACGCTTACATGTCCAAGGACATCCTATCCATGAAAAATCTCTTGTATATTGACCCAATCTTAATGGTTGAACATCCTGAACAGGAGACTACCAGTCAGGATAAAGTTTAAAAACCAAACAATAAATCAGTAGATGAGAAGGAAAGAACTGTTATATGATAATTACATCAACATAAGGGTGCTCAATTAATCTTTACTCCTGTTTTAGTATACTTGAACAGATCCAATGGCCCATTCAGAACTTGCAAGCTTTGCGGCTGCAGAATCCTAAATGACTAGCCAATTTTCAAATACTTGGAAACCAGAACATACACAAGTGGATATAACACTGAACCATCAACTGGTGGATAAAACAAACAGACACTTAGCATTACCTTCAAGGGTTCTGTGTTCGATGGGCTGGCATCTGCACCTTCTTTGCCCATTATTCGATCAGATGGTTGTGATGTTTTACGTTGGGAATCTAGAAAAAAAAAGTAATTGCATCGATCAAATTAAGAACACCTTGTTGTCAAGTAATCAAAATAAACATGATAAAAGACATGAAAATGGGAAATAAGAAGGAAAAATAGCTACGAAGATGAATGAACTAGAATCCAAAATAGGAAAACTTTGAAATATGGTGCTCATGAATTTAAAATCTTCCAGCCAGCAAAAACAAATTGATCTTTGGGGAAAACCCAGATCACGAAAACGGAAAATATCTGAAATCAAAACCGCATAACAATTTTGGCCATGGAAGATCTTAACCTATATTTATGAGGCCAAAAGCATTCCTGTGCTTCAATCAGCCCTTTAAAAATTGAATAAGTGCGCCTGCAGCCCAGATAACTGTCAGTTCACAAAATCACGAACACCAGAAATCCAAGGAAGAAATAACTAATGGTATGACGAAGAAGAAGCAGCCAAGTGAGAAAGGAAAAACAGGAGAGGCGAGAAAAGCATATGAGATTCGATGAGGCCTAGAGAAACAATCGAAAGAGTGATTTTTAGGAGATATGAATACAGGTCGGCTTGTCAAACGCAGTTCCCTCTGGATCCTAACACTTATTCAGAGGAAAAATTCGACAAAAAATGAACACAGACACAGACAGAATCCTTACTGGGGATTTAAGAAGTGGGTGAGTAATGAAAACCCCAAAGGAGAAACCCTTAGAGGATTCAACAGAGCCCAGAAGAACGACGTGAAACAAAAGCGAAGACGAACATGTCGCCTATGGCCCAACCACGTCAAGATCGAAATAGATCGGAAAATTGGAGGATAAGAAAGCACAAAATTTCCCTCTTCCAAACACCGAGCCATTCGACAAGATGAAATGAAGAGCGGTTCATGATAACCCACAATGAATTGACCCTCTATTTCGTTCTAGAAAAGGCAATCTTCACCCAAGATCTCTCTCGTTTTCTCAGCAACCTTTTGCTGTAATACAGCGGGAGGAAGCGACAAAACAAGATCCGTCAACGAAAAGGGGATAAAGATAACAAAATTGATGGTCGAAAACGAATAAATAGACAAACACTTCAAAAAATTCATTCCAGATTACCCAGATCTGAAGAAACGCCCTCCAAAAACCACAAACCCCTCACTAAATTTTTTTCAGGGAAAAAATGAAAACGAAAAAAATAAAAATAAAATAGGTCGAGGAGAAGAGAAGAAATTTAGGAACCCAGAAATGGAAATTCCGGAGAGAAAAAAAAAACAGAGAGACGCGGTAGTACCAGAAACAACAGAGCTTAGCCACTCAACGACCTCTCTGCGAGACTTGAGCTTCGTGCGCGATAAAAACAGCCCCACTGAATTAAGGAACCGATTCTGCAAAGCATAGTGATAAGACATATGCCTTAGGCTCTTCTCCTTCCCCACGACGGCCAGATCTAAGCTCCCATCGCTGCGCTTCAGATAATAACGAACTTCTCTTCTCCCTTTATGACTAGAGATGAAATCCTCATACCAGCTCACATACCCAGACGTCGCCGAGGCCATCGTCGTCCTCTCCGGCAGTGAAGAAGCAGCTGAAGCCACCGCCGACAACCTCTCCATATTACAGAAAAGGGCCGAACAAAAAAGAAATGATGAGGTACCGACCGAAACACAAATTCAGCCCTAGAAAAGAAAACCCACAAATGAAGAAACTAGGATGAAGTTGAAAACCCCGGATTCAAAACCTTGGAACAGAAATTACCGGCTGAGATAGGGAAAAACGAAGAAAAGAAGAATTAAGAGAGCTGTGTCTTGTATCTTCTTCTTCCTGAAATTCTTGTATAAAATTAGAGAATTGGACAGGGAATAAAGTAAAACCTCCGGCAGGGAACTTGAAGGGGCTGGGTTGGTGTCCGGAATATATATATATATATATATAAAGAGGAGGTGAAGGCGAAATTGGAAGTTTGAAAAACCATCGAAATGGTAGAAATAGCGGAAGCTAGGGTTTCGGGATTGCGGATTTAGGGATAACGATGAACGGCCGAGATCGAATCGACGAGAATGCCGCAACGAAATCGCGCGTATTACTTCGAGCCTGCGAAATACCGAAAAAGCCCCTGCAATAAGAGCAGAATTACGATGAGAGCCAAAGCGTATGGGTAGTCACGTGCGACAGATTCAGGGTTTTACATTAGTGCGGACAGGTGTAGATTGAGAAATTTAGGATCGGTTTTTTGAAGAGTGGTGACCGCAATTACCGGTGAAGGAGGCGAAGACTCGCTCTTTCTGATGTCTAATTGTCAATTTGTGATTTTTTTTTTTTTTTTTTAATTTTAAAAGAATAGTGAATTTTGTTTTTAATCTTTCAATTATTAATAATGAACATTTTTTATATTAATTATCTTTTCTAAATTATTTGATAAAGTTGATTGTAGCTTAGATAATAAATATCAATATATAAAAATAATTAAATTATTGTCTAATTTAAGTCACCCATTTAATATTAATTTACTAAAAAAACATATGCAATTATATGATTTTTCAAATTTAAAACTAAAATTTATCAAATATTATTTTTGCTTATCAACTAATTTTTCTATGAGCATAATTATCCATAATTATTTAACAGTTACCGTAATCTCAAATTAAGCAACTTTTTTTTCTTTGGTTGTAAATTTATTAACTTACTTAAATTAATTAAAATTAGACTAAAAAGTAAACCCCAAATATTAGAAAAGTTAAAAACTAAGATAATAGAAAACCCTTACCTAAACAAATTTGTATAATATTCTAATTCCTTTAATAATAACATTGAAATAATAATAAATAAATAAATAATCTTTTTTCTTTTTCCATGTAAATAGTTTTAAGTCGTCATTTCATTTTATTTTATTTTTCAATTAAATAATAAATTTAGTCTTTAATTAGTTCATATATTTTAAAAAATAGCTATTTATCTTTCAAATATGTTTATTAAATTTTTTATATCTAAATCCATAATCCTGGACACAAATTAAGTTTCTTCTTTCTTTAAAAATTCTAGATAATTTTAAATATTAATAAAATTATGTTTTGGATTTTTAAATATGGAGAGATTTTTTAATTTTTTTTAAAACAAAACAAACTATATCTTTTATTTTATTTCACATGACCCACCTTTTATTATTTTATTTCACATGACCCCACCAAACCAAATTTGTTTGTGATTTTTCACTTTTTTTTTTTTTTTTTTTTTTTTTTTTTTTTTTTTTTTTTTTTTTTTTTTTTTTTTTTTTTTTTTTTTTTTT